ATACATGTCTGTATAACAAATCTTTCCCTCCTACTAGCCAAGAGAGTTTTCACTATTAGTGAAAATAGTTTTCACTATTAGTGAAAACATCCTTTATCCTTAAAGGGCCACACTTGCAGCTCCTTTCCCTAATTTAAAAAACACAGAATGTTATCAAGTCTGAAAAGGAGAAATTGATTGCATGTCCCTGCATCCTTTTTTTACTTTGTTTACACAGTAGAGTATCATTACAAGCACTTCAAAGTTTAAAAAGCCAGTATTTGCAGTTCCTCCTGTAGCTCTCACTATACTGCCCTGGATACTCATCATTCACATTGAAAGGAGAAGTGGTTTGTAACAGCATGGAAAAAAATAGGATCCTGTAACTAGAGATCAGACCACATGCATAAAAAACACATGAAGGAAAGCAAAGTGACAGGTAATTTTAAATCTGGATGCTATTGCTAACTGAATAACAAGAGCTTTAATAACATATCTGAGGAAGCTGAAGCAGAGAGGTGACAACAGGGCAGTAATGCAGCCTCCTAGAAGGCAGCAGATAGTAGGAAACATGCACTCCTTTAGAGGGAATGCCAATCCTCTTGTGTACTTCTTCCCAGCAACACAAACTCTTAATCTTCATCTTTACAACACATCTAAATTACAGTGACTAATGGTGTTGGCTGACAAGGAAACCAAAATCCAAACATCTACTGAAGGACAGACAAACTGGGAGAAAATGCTCGCTGCAATAGGGTCTGTCCAAAGATCCAGCCCAATTTTTCAAAGTCAACCAGTATTGGTAGATGGTGCCATGAAGAACAGAAGAAAGAAATGGTAGCTTGCCAGTGGAGCAACTGTCTTTTGACAAAGCAGTAATTGTGAGAGTCAACCCAAATTCACAACCCCATTTATAACCTCCTCAGGAGCCATATAATTCCCTTCTGTGTTTTCAGCATACCATCATTGCCCCTGTTGGTTTTAACAGTTCTAGTCTGGGCTTTTTCAGTTGTTTAGCAAAGACTTTTCTGTACAGCATGAGTGATAGAGGACCAATGAAGATTTTCAAGTCATTTAGTCTCAGCAAAACTTAAATAATTTCATGGGGCAAGGAAATCAGACCACTTATTTAGCCTAAAGACTTTTTCTCTTGCCAAATTACAATGGCTTTTGCAAACAACAAACCTCCTCAAAAAGGTCATACAATTTCTTTATAATGGAAACTACTAGGCAATCTAAATACAGAAGTTGCTACTAGTTCTCTCTATAATACAGTACATTAGGGTTCTATTCAGTATTCCTTACTTGTGCTTCTAACGAACTTCAGCAGGAGATTTGTTCAAGAAAGCAGTAATTATTACAGTCCTATGTTCCTTATAACATCTTTCATCTAGAAAGATTTCAAAATGTCTTAAAGGTCGCACATAGAAAATTACTATACTCAGTGCAGTCTCCTATCAAGGGGAACATAGTAATTTCTCGGTACCCAAGCAACAAAACAGCACAATTTAGGTTAGAAAGTAAATACTAAAGCTGTGTGTACATGGAGAGTTTAGATCCTCAGTGACATTACCAAACTAACATCTGGCAATAGCTGTAGGGTAAAAGATAGAGGGATATCCATCTGGCAGATAGGATCTTAGTTTTACATCCAACTTGTGGCACATCTAGCTGGCACCATGCTGGGGCACTGCTTTTAGACCAGAGAGTGCCACCTTGGGAATCAGTTACAGCACTTCCTGCAGCATCCAGGATTTCCCTTGGGACATCCCCCTCCAAGGACAGCCCAGTTTAACCATTCAATGCAATACTGCCATAGACAAAAAGTTAATTTAACTCCATAATCTAATCTACTTTGAAAATTCAGTCTAGAAATAAAATATAATAAAGAAATTGTAAAAATTTGCACTAATCTTAACAATTATATCAATTACTAAAGAACATAATCCACTTCTGGCCTCTGGCACAAAAGATAACTCTTTCAGAGAGAAGAAATTATTCAACAGTGAAAACACCCACAAAACCTACCCATACCCAAAAATATTTCTGGAAAAGCAAATGTGCACAATCAGTATTAAAATAAAAAAAGCTTTAATCAACTTTGCACCTGATTTCCAGTGGCCTTCAAACCCACTTAGCTTCAATACAATTGCCTGTTTTTCCACCTGCAACTTTGGTCACATTTAATGAAGTTTTAACATGCAGAATCAGGTACACATTTCAACAAAAAGAAAGAGATTGCTCTGAATTTAAAATAAAGGTAGCATTTTACAACATCTTATAGACAAAGCTCTAATCAGTAAAAAAAGCCACAGTAAAAGGCTTTAAGCAAGAATCATTGCACAGCAACAACCATGCTGATGCATCACCTTAATCTAACATCAAGCTTCAAAATGGAAGACTAAAATAAATAAATAATGCATTCTCAGTGACATCAAAACATGGTAGCACCGTTATCCCACCCCATGTTGATGAAAACCATTTTGTCCTATAGGCAACACCAACAAATGCTTTACCAAGGTAATAATTTGGCCACTTGGACTCCAGAGGTCCTTAGGGAAAAAAAAAAAAAAACAACAAAAAAACCAACCAAAAAACACACCAAAAAAAAAAAAAACACCAACCACCCAGATGGCCTTTTGTGTTTCTTTGGCACCCTAATGATTCCCTTCAGGGACACAAAGGTCTACTTACTGGCTCAAATCATATATCAGAACTGGAGACAAAAGCTGCCTGGCCTAAAACTTCAACTTTTATCTACCTCATGCCATGTGTAAAACTCGGATTTTGCAATATGAAGATGCAACCCATCTAAACCTTACAGGGAAAACAAGTCCCATAAACCTATTCAGGGACACATTGTTACAGAGTTTAAGTAGAGGGGGAAAAAAAAAATCAACCTAACTACTACAGTTTGCATACCAGGTCACTGTCAGGGAGAAAGTGGAAACTAAAGAAAGAAAAAAGACACTTTGTTGAAAAATTATTTAAAATATTAAATATTCAAGTAGGGAAACCAGAAGACAATGAAAATATTTGTTTCTCAGAAGAAAACAAAATTTTTGTTTTTAAGTTTCAATGCTTTTATCCAGCTGAGCTTCCAAAGCAATAAAACATAATTTTAAACTGACTTTTCTTATCAAACTGATTGGATGTTAGAGGATTTTTGCATTATGTTTTTAAAGCCTTTGCATTAATTCATCAGTCTTATTTTGCTGAACAATACCAATCTGTACACATCTCTCTGTGATATAAACAGAATGCCATTGTTATAACAGGAAACCATAATATATGTGACAGATGCAATTCCCTCTTGTCACATTTACCTTACTGATTTTCTTTGTTAAAAAACAAGCAAACAAAAACATTCAACTAATATTCACAACTGAAGTTATGAGAAGTCCTTCCAGTATTCATTCTGGTTTTCAGAAGTCAGGGAAACTAGCTCCAGAAATAAAGAATAATCATTTTTATCAAGTAATTGGACCCAACCTTGCACTTATAATTTCAATCATGTAACATTTATTGCAAGTCATACTCATCACTGCTTTGACCAATATCTACAATGTAATTGCGGCTTTTGATAGGATTGCAACTTGATTGCCATGTAGACTTCTCTTGCTGATGGGATTAACCCATAGGTATGGTAATGGTAAGAAAGGATTCCTGAGCAACCTTCTATTAGCATGCATAGCTACAAGTGCACTCAAGTTCGTTTGTAAAACGCCTCCATTCCCCAAGCACACATGTTTAGGCCACCGGCAGGTCCAGGAACCAGTTAATCCACCGCAAGCTTTGTGAGTGGTGTACAGAGGAAAGGTCCTCCTGGGAAGTCACGGGTACACACGGAGACAATTCCATAAAGCGCAATTCAGCTAAAAATTTCTCCTGAACACTGAAGGGTTATAATCCACCCCCTATAGCCCTCGGAAACCTGCATGGTGATGCTCTGTGATGAAAAGCAAATTAAAATAATGCTATCAGTAATAATCAAACAAAGGGGTTATGTATGAAGCAAAGTTAAACTCACAGAAAAAAAAATAAATTTTAAAAAATTTTAAAGGGTGACTGTCTTAGCAGGCACACCCTAGAGGACAGTTCTTGTTCGTGAGAGGGCACAGTATCTCCAGGGTTAGGCTGTGCAGGCAATTATGCCCTTCCTGGTATTTATTATTTCTGTTTCTACACACGCCGGCGCAGCGCTGGGTCAGGTTCACCGAGGAGCCGCGGCCGGGGGAGGCTGTGTGTTCCCGCCCCCACTCCTGAGAAACGAGACCCGATTCCTGTCACGGCCGCCCTCCCTCTCACCCTGGGGATGCACCGCGGCTCCCCCGGCCCCGATTCCTGTCACGGCCGCACAGCCGCTCCCCCGCCGGCCCCGCTCCCCCTCCGCCGGCGACCCACCGTGTGGAGGTGCCCTTCCTCACGTCGCACATCAAGCACTTGAAGGCCTCGGCGCTGTTGCGGAAGGTGCAGACGCTGCAGTCCCAGTACCCCTCGTCCGAGGAGGGTTTCGGCTGCCGCTTCGGCCTGCGGAGACACACGCGCGCCAGGGGCAGCACCGGCCGCGACGCGCCCGCCGCCCCCGGGGCGCCCCCGCCGCCGGCCCCGCGCCCCCGGAGGGCCCGGGGGAACGAGAAAGCGCCGCCGCTGCCCCTACCTGGTCGGGCTCTTCTTGTCTCCCATGCCGGCTCCAGACGCGTCCCGGCCCGGCCCCGGCGCGGCCCTTTGTGCGTTTGTCAATAAGGAGGAGCGCGGGGGGTCTCCGGGCTCTAGCGGGGACCCGGGGAGGAGGAGCCGCCGCCGCAACCTCCAGCTGTCGGGGAAACTCCCGCTGCCGCCGCCGCCGCCTCCCCGCTCACGTGTCCCCCCGCCGCCAACCAGCGCGCCCGCAGGCCGCGGCGCCCGGCGGGCCGCGCACGGCGGCACCTTCGCTCCGCCGGCGGCTCGGGCGCTGCGAGCGGCGGCGGGGCCGGGGCAACGCGGGGGCTGCTGGGGGCGGCGGGCGGAGCGGGGGCGGTACCGCGCCGGGGGGCGGCCCCGGCGGGGAGGCGGTGCGGGATGGGCAGAGCGGCAGTGTGAGTGACTGCCGCCGGCCTGCAGGCCCTTCCGTTAAAGCCGCCCGTCTTATCGCCCAAGGTTGCAGCGTCTAGATCGTCTTGTGCTTCTTCCCACAGAAATTGCTCCGGGCAGTGCTTTACAGTAAGAAACAAACGCGAATAAGCTGAGTGCGAACTTCTGCTTAGAAGTCTGGGTCTAAAGCATCCCGTTGGCCTGAGGCCATGGGAGAACACCATGGGTGCCAGTACAAAACCAGGAGAATGGTGTTGCCTTGTCCCCGTGCGCAGGGTCCTACTTTTGCACTTAAAAGCTTGCAAGTACAGCGTGGTTCTCATGCACCATAGCAACCTCAGACAGGACACGGGTGTTTATCACCTCTATTATCAGAGTGCACCAGAGTCCAGTCACAGACTAGGATGCCATTTTGCAGGGTGCTGTGCAAATAGAACAAAGAGCACATGTCCTAGGAGCGTAACAAAGACAGCAGCTAGACACAGGTAGAGAGCAGAATGCAAGCAGACAATAAAATGGTACCGGTCACCGGTCAGCATCTCAGTGCCAAAGCTATTACTGCTGCATTGCCAAGAAATTATGGGATTTCGAGAACAAAATATGCTCAAATTTCTAGTTTTACTGAAGTGTATGAAGACACAGACATGTTTGAAAATTAAGCAAGTGGACAACAGAGAAACTTTCTGATTTTGAAGGCAAAGTTGTCAAGATAAATTTCAGCTAGAAATACTAGAATAGAGAGGGAAAATGTAGGTAAAGCACTTGACACATTAGGGAAGCAATTAAAGACCCCTTAACTGGGATGTAGCATTTATGCAAATGAACTAACACTTTTACAAGATTCACAGTTTTCTCTGTCTCTCTAGGAATGCTGTGTGTCAGCAATTGGAAACCTGTGTAGGATTTACTTGTGTCTGGCCATTTATCCTGAATTCCTTCTGCATTCACATCCACCTTCCACTACTGCCGTTTTCCTCACCTTATGGTTCTCTTTCTATATTTGCCTCACCTTTCCTTTCCTTTCCCTACTGCAATTTCTTTCTGCCTTATCTCTTTAGGCTTCTCATGCAGTCTTCTGTAAATTATGAATAAAATGTACGGATTGCACATCTGAGGATGCGGCATGCCACACACAGACATCTGGCCTGGGCTCATTTGCATTTAGTTAGACATCTACATGGACTAGGAGCCCAGACCCAGCTCTCAGCAGGAGAAACAAGCTCATGCTGAAGGTGATTGATCTGATGCTAAGACAGGAATACAATTGTCTCACTTATGGGGACTATTTCTTTCCATTGACTATAAAGAGTACTTTACACCAGTAGTCCAGAAGTGGATGTTTAAAATTACAGAATTATATGAGGTGTCCCACCTGTGCTTGAACCTGACCTTATGTAGAAATCTCTTGATGGAAAGCAGTAGAGAAACCTGTCTCCTTGTGCCCTTTTCCACAGCACACTCAGTCACTGTATAAACAAACATTATTTCCCCACTTTTGGAAAGTAATTATTTTGATATGACTGCTTTCTCTTGACCTTTCCCCTGTCACAGCCTACTTTCTCCATACCAACTGTGGGAAACAAAACTTCCACTGGTGGTTACAAAGTGCCTAGATATGTTTTAATCCCTCAGGAACCATTCTTGGGGAAGACCATGTATAATCAGGAGGAGGAAATGCAACTGCCATCCATAAATGTAATCCCTAACAAAAGAGTAATCTTTCTGGCTGTTATGTTCCAGACCTTCTGCTTCAAGGTCATCACCCAAATGACCATGACTAAAAATAACCATGTTTTCCCAGCAGCATTGGGCTTGTTTCCCCTGAGCTCCAACTAATCCTTATTTTGGAAGCTGAAATGTGATTTGAATGGTACATTCAAAAGTTCAGGTGTATGGGTCATGGTGCAGGTCACAGTGGCCATGGGTCTGTGCAAGTGTGGGTCTTATTCTTCAATAATCCTGAAAAGGAAAAAAATACTATTTTCCTTGCATCCTTGTTCTCTCCTCAAATAGGAACACAAGAGGAGACCGCTGACAGCATCAAGCCATCCCATGTCATCTCTGCAACTGAAACAGTGATGGAAGGCGTTACTTAGCAGCAATGCTGGAAAGCCTATGTAAGAGGTGTGTGTAATAGTCAGATACTGAAGAGATCCAGGGGGACTTTGGTAAACTGAAAAAGTAAAAAATTCCATACTCGGATACTTTGTCATCCAGTGGTATTCATGTAAACCCAGAAAACTCATCTGTCTTTGCTAAATGTTTGTATGGCACATGATCTAGAAACGTTGAATGACAAAATTGATGGCATCAGTATTAGCAGTCTTTTAAAAAATGTTTCTGGGAAAGAAAAGGGATGAATGAACTATAATTTTAAATATCCTTAAATTTTGACTTTGTCTGGTACAGTTCTTCCAGAGCAATTATTTGCCCCCTGTTTTAATTCAGCTGAGCTTAAGTAAACACATTTTTGAGACAGAAGGGATGGGCAATATAATTGTATCTTTCTACATCAGCCATCACTCTCTAGTTAGTGTTTGGTGTCTTATTATCTTAAAATTGTACAAGGAAAATGCTCATAGTATGATTATGATATAAAAAATTATATATGCTGATAGCTAGTGGAAGTTATATATTTCAGTGTATGGTATAAATGTTCTGGCATTCATGACTTCTCAGCTAAAAGTTTATTCATAATAAAGAAGATGTGAAAGAGGATGGTACCAATTTTTAAGTACCTATTGTGTAAAAATTCTTACTACAGAGAAAATTACAGTTGTTCCTAAAAAAAGGTGTTCACATACAAGGTTATTAAGAACAAGCTAGTGCTGTGTAAATCCATACAAAGACTTGCCATTTAGTCAATACTTGAACCATCACTGTGCACAGCAAACTTGTGCCAGTTGCTGCATTATCAGCATCTTGAGCAATTAAGTAATCACTTTGTCACTGCTTGAGCTTAAAAAACTCTCCATAAAGATGATTATCATTATGTTGTAGATAAACCACATTTTAATCCCTATTCATGAAAAGGAATAGCACATAAGTATAAAATTGTACTAGAGCAAATGCATGTTATTCCAGCACAGTGTATCTGTTTTGCTTGGGTTGCGCTGGTATAATAAAATTAATACAATTAAATCAATTAATGGGAATTTGACTGGCAAGGGGTTTTTTGACATGCTAGGTATAGTAAGGCCTGAATCCTGGCTGGGTTTCTATGTGATACTAGGGCGGGGAAAAATTGAAAATCAGAGACAGTGAAAAGTGAAAGCTGCTTGTGGACTCTATAATAAAGACAATAAGATTGGTGACAGCAAGCACTGCCCCTCCAGCCTATGTTTGCTCAGCCTCGGGAGCAGCCCACTGACTACTCATGCGCCTCTTACTAGAGTGTGGAGGCAGGAGAGTGAAATTCTGCTTTAGAAAGGGCCAGAACAGAGAGGGACCACATCTAAAATACTTCATAACATCAGAGAGCCTAAAAGCTGTTTTAGAAGAGTTTTCACTTCCTTGCATGTACAAGTCTGATCTAAACATATTGTATATTTTTTAGGGAATTATAGCACTTATGCGAGTTGATTCATCAGCATATCCTTCAGGTTTCACACAGAGTGGCTCTGACATCAGCAGGGATATGCTGTCATGAACCTTGAGTAACATGGTGGTAATTAAGTCCAGGAGTCTTTCTAGGGTCATAATTTGACTGTATGCTTGTACAAATTTGGCTCCAAATTCGTAAGATAGAGTCTTGTACACAGAACTCTTGCAGGTTACAGCACAGCAGCAGTAGTTGCATGTATAAGATCAATAAAAATCTGATCATAATGGGGTTTTTTTTCATATTTGTCCTCTGTGAACTGGAATGAAATTATCAAACCACTTACTTTCAGGTACCTGGTAATTTTCAAGTAATTATTTCAGTAACTGCTTACTTGTCATTCACTCTTCTAGTTTGGGTCCAGCCTTTATCCTTTCAGATTTTATAATTAATTTTAAAGTTGTTCAGCTCTATAGTTTCTTTAAATCCTCTGCTTCATGACAGAAAACGCTTATAGTAGAAGTTTCCCTACTTTTTCCATTTAGCCCGTCCCTAAGGTAATCCAAGATGTGAAGGATCACTGGTAAGAATGAAAGAGTATTCTCAACATTCACTAAATATTTCTGATCCTTTTCCTGGGATTTGGTGGCACACATGACAGCTTTTTAGACTGAAGAAAATTTATTTTGGACAAGTCAGATTTTTAATAAATAACACTGATGCTTAATTCTAGCATACCTCATATAGAAGAGGTTTGATAAAAACTGCCTGTGAATGCTAAACTGAAGGTATGCCAGGTGATGACTTCAGACACTGGAAAGGTGTTCACACCTTTTGTCTGGACTTGAGGAACCAGTGGAAGTTTTCAACCCAACAAATGGTGAAAGAATGGCTCCTCCAGAGCAAATAGTTCAAAGTGGTAAAGCTGGATTTTCTTTGAACCATCTATAAAGGAACCAGAGGGAGACAAGGCTCACTAGCGTCTGTGAATTTGGATCTGCAGGGTTAAAGAAACTCAAGTGAAGCTACCCTTAGCAAATATTTAAATTTGGGGCTGAATCTTTCCCTATCTGCTCCCATCAAGGTGAATTGGGGGGATTTATTGGGCAAAGCCAGTTTCCTGAGGAGGAATAGGTATGTATTGCTGAGGCTCCTTTAAACAGAAAGAAATCTCTGCTGCCACTTTTTCCTGACATCAGCATAAGATCTAGCTGGTTACAGGGGTGAACACATAGATACCTCAATTAGCAAGCCAAGCTCCCTTGGGGCTATAGGAGAGAAAAAAATCCTGCTCTCAATGCTATCTGTTCATGTGTGCTTCTTGATTTCATCATGTGCCTTGATCCCTCTTAATCTGCTCCCTCATTCTTTTTCTGCTATTTGTCATCTTCCTGGTTATGTTTTTTCTCCTCCTCTTTATGTATTCCTTCATTCTTCTTCCCGTTTTCTTTTCCTCCTTGTCATTATGTCTGAGATTTGTCTTTCTACAGGTCTTCTGTACTACTGATTCTGCCTGTTCCATCCTTCAGGTTCCTTTTCTGTCGTGTCTCACTCTTCTCTTGCTTGATTATCACTCACTGATGTTCTCCTTTTTGTAAGTTGTTTTAAAGTGTTAAAATTTGACAAAAGGTTGACTTTCCTATTTTTGTGTCACACAGGTGGCAGGCTTCCCAGGGAATTAGTGCCAAAGGAAGAACAGCAGCCCAAAAGAGATTTCACAGTTTACAGCAATATTTAAAACATTCTGAAACTGATTAGGGAATATGGCTGAAAGTCACATAGCTTCTTGGTCCTACCTAGCACTTAGTAAAGGCTGTTGGAGAAAAAATAAAATACTGGAACTAAAGCCTCTAAGCCAGTTCCTTGCTTAGTTTACTGCTCCAACATTGTTTCAAGATAGCACACAAACACCTACTGCAATGGCTGGATTCACAAGTGCCACAAGCTGCCTTTGGATCAAAAGTGCTGTTCAATTTTTCTCACTCTAAATCTCTTTCATTAATTCCTTTAGATTTATTCTGCGATCATAATTTGACTTACAGGCATTATCTCTGACTAATGATGGGAAAAGGGTGAATGTGTCTGCATTGTGGGATAAGTAGGAAAAAAAGATATTGCAGATGTACTGATTTTTTCAGATGTAATAGAAGTAATGAATGAACAAACCAACCTTCTGTCAGAAAAAAAACCACACAAAGATGCTTAGTCTTTGGGAAGAATACATTTTCTATGTGTAGTAAAAAGTATTTTTCACTGCTTATAATTATATATACATGCATGCAAACACAGAGACATGGGTACTTAAACATTCAAAAGAATTGCAAATTTTTCTTGAAAGGTATTCCATATCAGCTCACTACATTTTCATTATGAAATATTCTGAGGTCTCCATAAGAGACCTCATGAGTCCTTTTTTACCCAATTTCTATATTATTCTGGGTAAGGAAGATAATGATGAATGTCATAGAAGCCCAGCATGCAGGAGTGCTGGTGAGAGATCTCACTTTTCTTTTTTGGCTTGGAATTATTGCTTGGTCTCAGTTTGCCAAAGCTTATCCCCTTCATGACATAATCTATAGCAGTATCTTCTGCTTTCAGTTCCAGTGTTATATTTCCATTTTTTGTTCGTTTTTTCCCTCCTACTTTTAATTAAATTGAATACAAAATATTGAATTCAAAAAACAAAAAGGAAGAAAAAAAAAAGAACAGGGTTCACATCCAGTCAATAGAACATGTCTGTGTGGATTCAAAATCAAGTCCAGGTGGTGAAGTCTCTTCCCTGAGGAGAAGACAATTTCCTTGCCACTGTGCTAAGGTTATTGCAATGCCAGTATCCCTAAATAACCATGCACTACATCTTACAACCCTTTTGTCCCTCTTCCTATCCTTTTGCCTCTCTTCCCATTCTTTTGCTTGGACTTATACTGTAGCCATGTGCAGGGCTGGACTGTGTAGACTCAATGTTGCATAGAAGTGTTTTACAGAGCTTCTTTTTTAAAAGAAATTTGAAAAATTAATTTCAAAATGAGTATATTAATGAGAGAAAGAAAAAAAAAGAAAAATTAAGTTCTTTATGTGGAGTGTACCCTCAGGCTTTTCCTGTAGGTTTAGAGCACTGTTTACAGTGAGCCTACTGCACTGGTGATCTAGGGCTGGAAGAAGCAGAAATCTCCCAGAGGAGCCTGTCAGTTGACATGGATCAGTGTTGATGCCTCCTGTTAGGTAACTGCTCGAGTAGGAGATTCTTCAAATTCTTCAAAATTCAAGAAAACATATCAAAATAAAAGACTATTGAACCTTGCAGTGGTGCTGCTATTTTTAAGATGACTCAAGCATTTAAAAATGCCATGGGAAAAAAAACTGCAATTATCAAGATGATCATCACAGATCACCATCACTGGAAGTTGAACACTTGGAAGAGATGACTTCTTCACAAAGCAGCTACTCCACGGGGTTTGATGAGGGCTGTCAAGCCAGCAAATAACTGTGAGACTGCATGGCTAATGCTGCAAAGGCACATCATTGATGCAAAACTCTACTCCCAAGCTAAACTGCTGCCCTCGGGCTATTATTTAAAAAAAGGACACATAATTACACGAAAGGGAGTTTGAAAAATGACAAATTTTGTTACAAGTTGAATATGAGTCAACAGTGTGCCCTGGCAGCCAGGAGGGCCAACAATGTTCTGAGATGCTGCATCACCAGCCAGGACAAAGGAGGGGATTGTCCCACTCTGCTCTGCACTGGGGACGCCTCACCTTGAGTTCTGGGGGCAGTTGTGGGTGCCACAATGCAAGAAAAATATAAAGCTACCTGAGAGTGTCCAAAGGAGGACTACCAAGATGCTGAAGGGCCTTGAGGGGAAGCCTTTTGTGGACTGGCTGAGGTCACTTGGTCTGTTCAGCCTGGAGAAGAGGAGACTGAGGAGAAACTTCATTGCAGTCTGCAACTTCCCTGTGAAGGGAAGAGGAGGGGCAGACACTGATCTCTGCTCTGTGGTGACAGGACTTGAGGTTGTGTCAGGTGAGGTTTAGGTTGGGTATTAGGAAAAGGTTCTTCACCCAGAGGGTGTTTGGGCACTGGAACTGGCTCCCCAGAGAAGTGGTCACAGCACCAACCTGACAGAGTGCAAGAAGTGTTTGGGCAGCATTCTCAGACACCTGGTGTGATTCTTGGGGTGTCCTGTGCAAGGCCAGGAGTTGGACTCAATCATGCTGATGGGTACCTGCAAACCCTCATCTTTGATGATTAATTCTGAGTCAGAGTTATCATCTCCTGTAGCTGTTACACACACTTGACTAACCCTCAGAATGCTCTCTTACAGTCCTACAAAGAGATCTTCAAAGAAACCCTGAGATCAAGGCAGTGTTAGCACAAGCTTTAAGTCATCTTTGAGTGACAGTTTCTGATTTAGGTTTTCAAACATACCAGCCAGATCTTTGTCTAAGTTTGTTCATTACCACTTGCAAAATAAATAAGGACATTCATTGCCTTAATGTATCTTTTCCAGAATAAAGTCTTTATACATAATCTATTATATTATATATTTCAGAGAAGAACTGCTCTTTCCTGAAGACTGGATATATGAAAAAACTATCTAGAATCTTCAATTTTTAATTAATTGCAAATTCTGTAGTATTCCAGACAACTCTAATGTCCCAATTTGTTCTCACCAAATCTATATAGCTACAACCATTTTCATATAAACCTTGACAAATATTGCTAAGAATGAAGAGTTAAATGTCCTTTTTATTGTATCAGTAGAATATATAGTAAAGGCATTTCCCTTATCTTTGAGGAAGTACTTAAGCAGATAAAGTAATTAATAATGTGAGATACTAGCTCATCTATTAACAACAGAATATTTGTTAGCTGCACATGTAAGAAGATTTTAAACAAGTTCAGGCATTTTAGATGTACTGGAACTATTTGAAAGAAAAAAATCCTATAACTGCATTTATTTGTTGGGAAAAAACTATTGCACAGTTAAAAAGAGAGACATGTATCTGAAACTCTTTAGCCATGTCTCTCATTAATGTGCAGTAGAATAAATTGATACTGTGCTTGGGTTAACCACCACACCTTTATGCAAGCCATTCAAACTGTAAGTAACTCCAGGTAAGACTGTCCCTGTGTAACTAGAAAATAACTAACTGTATAGCAGACATAGGAAAGAAGCAGCTCCACAAAAAAGTGTCAGGAAAAAATGGATTGACTTTGTCTTCATTTGGTAACTTCAGGAAGTCAAATACAAGAGAAGTCATGAAGCTTCAAAGTCTAAAAATTG